GGAGCCAGGCAGCCAGGGTTTGGGGCTCTTTCAGGGTTTGGAGTCTTGCGGCTTCAGGGTCTCCGGTTGTAGGATTGAGTGGCTGATTGAGGGTATGCTTAGCTGTTCGGGGCTTTTTTGACATTCAAGACCGGAGCCCGAGTTCCCAAACGTAGGGGGTTCTGGGTATGCATGGAGCTTTCATGAAGTGGCACGATACCTTGAAATTGAGGCTTCGGGAACATGTTTTTGTTTAATAAACTTGTCTAGCTATAGGCTTTAGGGTATGCGAATCAAGTCTCTGCGTCCACGACATTGCGCCTGAAAATCCTGAGGGCATCGTCCTTCCAGCGGCCGGCTGACAGTGGGCGGCAGCTGGTGCCATGGGGAACTGTAGAGTGTCATGCTTTCGGGGTGAGGGGGTTTGAGTTTACGGTTGAGGGGTTTAGGTTTTATAGCCTATATGTAAGGGTTTGGGGATTAGCTTTGTTTTGATGCTTTAGGATATTTAGGGTCGAGGTTCAAGGGTTCTTTCGGAATGTAGGCATCGCAGCCATCATCGAGCTTGGATTGCGGCTGACCATGTAACATACGCAGCAATTGCAGGCACCACCTTCGGTCTCCGTCGTAGTTCCGTTTTTGGCCGAATCAACTTTAGAATCCTGGAATCTAAAACACAATAACAATTCAACACAATTTTGGCTAATTGACGATTGGTGCTATCGTGCTCAGAGGACTGCAGGTACTTGGAGCCTCAGGATTATCTGTCTTCAAACTCTCTATGTAGTACTCTCCCAGTTCCCTAGCTTCATCCCAAGCCGCCATCACCCCAAAACCCGAATGTAGCTTGAGACAACCCCCATAGGTTCCAAACCCCCACGCCTCCAGCTCCTAACCCTAAACTCCGAACCCTAAACTCCTAAACCGCGAAGACCTAAAACATTGATGCACAATGGAGGTGTTAACAGACGAGTTATCTGCCGTGCGCGAAAACTCATCGAGGGCCTCCTCGAAGGAGATGCAAAGGGTTTTCCTTTAAGGGCGTCTATAGATTTTATAGGGTCTGAAGACGAAATACAGGGTCCGTAAGGGCTGCTGTGAGGGTGTAGCATAGAGGCCTTGACAATTCTAACAAGGCTCTTGGATATATCGATTATAAAAAAACACCCACGAAGGAACCTTAGGAATAGTGCTGCTAGCTATTCAGGCTCCTATATGGGGTGCTTATAGGGTTCTAAAGTTGGGTTGAGGGCGGAGACGCAGAATAGTGCTGTCGAGTTCAGGATTAATGACAGTGAGTGTTTAGGGTGATTAGGGGTACATGGCTGAAGAGTCTGGACGCAGAGATCAGGGGCGCATGGTTGAGGCTTGAGGGTTTCACCTTTGAGGGTCGGCAGGATGTATCGAATATTGCCAGGACAATTTCAGACCCAACAGCGTCAAGCCTTATAGAACCCCTAATGGACACCCCCAAAATAATATAGGTAACTATTGAGGCCCTACATTATAGTACCCTGAAGCCCTGGGCCTACCCTAGCCCCTAAACCCCAAACTCAAATCCCAAAGCCCTAAACCCGAAATCCCAAGCCAAGGCAAAGAAAAGGGAGGACTAAATTCGGGTTGTAAGGGTTCCCGAAATTTTCCCATCATCCTAGACAGGGTTCCTTTAAGGTTCAGTTTTCTACGAAACGGTTTGAAAGGGGGTTCTATGAGGGTTTGGGGCTTTAGGGTCTGCTGGTAGCACGGCCGACCAAGGAACAGATTGCCATCAAGGACAAGATGTCTTGAACACCCTAACCCTGAGCCTTCGACAGTGGCGAAGTCCAAGGTACCCAAGGTATCCAAATTCAGACACAACATGCAGGCAGCATGGCCCGTAGTAGTGGTAATATGTGATAACCTTTAGGGGTCGAATGGCTCAGAAGCAACACCTCCTTGTTGTCGTCCCTGCATGGTTTCAACTGTAGTACAGCTTCAAGCTCGTGCTGAGTTTTTCCGGGCCTCTAAGACTCTAGAGTAATCTCGGATCCCCAGCCTCCAAGTGCTCCCTTCAGGAGTCAGCTCACCGACCGGCGCAGCAACTCGTCTTGCGAGCGGGCTTTCGTGCGTTCAAGGTCATGTTTGTCGGTTTAGGGTCTGGAGGCTTTGAGTCTAGAGTCTAGATAAGGACTCACTCTTGTCCATTGGCTCCATAGCGGACATGCTGCGTCAGGACAACCACAAAACGCTCAATCTTGCAAGGGTTCGTCTCGAAAGAGAACTAGGACAGCCGCGGATACCAAAATGGTTGCAAGTTTGGGCTTCAGGGTTAAACCCTAAACCCTAAACCCTAAACCCTAAACCCTAAAGCCTAAACCCTAAACCCTAAACCCTAAACCCTAAACCCTAAACCGATTTTGGAAGCAGGCTCTCTGGTCCGAAGGAGATTATCCAGGGGTCCTTATACTGCAGCTCCCATTACTTGGGGCTCCCTCTATGGATCCCTCGTTGTTTGAAACTATACTTTGGGGGAGCAGTTTTAGGATTTTAGGGCGTGAAGGAGATATTCAGCTGGAGGATTCACGAAAGGGTTTTGGGATTGGGGGATTTTACGCCGTAGGCACATGGCGCACGTTCCTGAGCTCTTGCACCTAAGCTGGTTTTAGAGCACCGGGTTCAAAGGAGGCGCCGCTATCTTCGGGTGTGCCCAGAGACTCCAATACCCCTTAATTAAGGAATATACCTTAATTCATATTGGGGATCCTATTATATTTTAAGGTATATTCCTTAATTAAGGGATATTGGAGTCTCTGGGTGCGTGGCTCCCTGGCTTCAAACTAAGGCTACGACAGGCGGTCCTGGCGCAAGCACGGCGCAGGCGGTGGACACGGGATAAAGCTGAGTCCTGAACTCTCCCTTAAGAACCCAAAACCCACTTTTTTGTAGGTTCTTATTATAAACCCTAATATGGGATTTATAGGGACCCTACAAAAAAGTAGGTTTTGGGTTCTTCAGGCCAGCCGTAAACCCCAAGTTTCTATAAAGTTCACACGTTAAATCCATATCTATATTTATATCTTCGTCTCTATCTCTATCTCCATCTCCCACAAAACATCAACGTGATCGAACACACGAGTCCATTTAGCGGGTCCGTTTTGTTGCATTTCATGAGAGGGATGTCCTACAATGAAGGGTTCGACGATAATGACCACTCCCATGTGTCCACTCCCATGTGTGCATATATATATATATATGGTCAGCCCCCCCCCCCATGATCTACCTCCGTCTTTCTTGGGTATGTAAAACACATTGAAACCACCGTAAATACCGATGACTTTGCTGTTTTCAGAAACTCACAAATCCACCCAAAACTGTGTCACAAAATCGGTGGTTCGGAGCATAGCGAGACAA